ATACTTTATCCAGCAGTTTCCCTGCAACATCTAATCTACTTGGTGGACTGTATCCGAGTCTCAGTGACTGAATCATATTAACAAAGTGTGGGTTTTCAAGCAGACGGAAAGAAGAGTTTGTTGCATAAACAAACTGAGCAATTTTTTCATCAATTAACTCTTTTTCTAGTCTGCTAGTTTTTATCACAAACTTATCTATGGTGGTGGTTCCAAATGGTTTCTTTCTCTTAGGATGGTGATATATTGCGGATATTTGTAAATGATGTGACTGATGCACTATCCTGGAGAGAGAACTCTGAAACTGTAGAACAAGATAATGGCAATTTAGAAAGTGGATAGTTTCAGAATCTTTTATGTTGATGGTGGTTTCATCAAAACAAAAAAGTCAAAAAGGCTGTTATTTTATTATTTAAACCATGTATGCTTATTGTGAATTTCTCATTGTATTCACACACAGTACAGCCTAAAAAAGAATATTTGCATATTTCAACTCATTATTTCTTTTTTTTTGGCAACTGCATAAAAATGGTGAAATAAAAACAGTTTACCAACCAGAAGGTCTTGCCTCTTCAAACATGGTCCTTTCATCACAGCTGAAGAGTACTACAACAAAGTAAGCCCGGTGGTCCGGAATACAGTGAAACAACGTAACGAACGTAAAACGTACGTATGGACGAAACGGACATCCAGTCGCCAAGAGTTGGATACCCAGCGTTGGGGTAAACCCCAGCTAGTTGGTAAAGTGCCCCCAGCGGTTCGTTCCGACAGACGGTAAAAAAAGGGGAAAAGGCCGAGGTGCCTTACCTCCCTTGGGCTGGGACAGCTGGTGGTCGGCCTGCTCCGTCTCTGCTGCTTGCCAGCTACGCCTCGGCTGGCGCAGGGGGCGGAGCCACGCATGCGCGGCGCTCCCGGGCAGGGAAAGTCCTCGACTTACGACCGGTTGGGTAGTCCTCGACTTACGACCGGTTTAGTCCTCGACTTACGACCGGTTGGGGTCGCGGCATTAAAAAGGTTGAGAACCACTGCTGTAGGTAGTGGAACTTCATTAAAATATTCCCAAACTGGGTCTCTTTTACAGCCTGCTGCCATTTTGCTCCTCAAGGGAGGAATAAAGCACTTCAAGCTATGTGCAGAAAGATCACAAGGTTTATAAGCTGCTTAGAAAGTTTCACTTTCATTTTTACAGCTTGCCCTTCCTCCTCACACTTAAAAGCCTGGTATAGATGCATTTCTCTTCAAACAATCACACAGTTTGTAGTGTACATAAGATTTGCAAAACAATGGGATAAGGGAATATTCCTGAATTTTGTTTTATGATTTATCTCATTGTTACTGTGAAATTGTGTGAATGCATCAATGCAGTGAATGTTATCTCAGCTTGCAGAGCTTGGATTCATTGAATGAGTTTACCAAAAATGTAAATATTGCAGAATATACAGCGTCATGCTACGTAAGTGTGACTAGATGACCTCCAAGATCCCTTCCAACTTTTATTATTATTATTATTATTAATAATAATAATCTTTTATTCATTAGACATGAACCTCAAGTCAACTGAGCATTCAAATTGGCTGGCGCTGATGGTTGACACTGGCTGCTACCAGCATCCTATCATCATTATTATTATTATTATTATTATTATTATTATTATTATTATTATTATTATTATTATTATTATTATTATTATTATTATTATTATTATTATTATTATTATTATTAATTATTACGCTCCATTCCATGCTGAATAAACTAAATTATTAATGTATCTTAAATAGAAAGCTATCTTTAGATAGATTTTTTTACTCCAAAAGCATTTTATTAAAATAAATTTGATAAAAATAAAAAAAATCCGATTTAAATAAAAAAAATCTGATTTCTTAATTTTTTTGAAAAAAAATCATTATCTACCCTAAGCAAGGGCGTTGTTAAGTGAGTCACCTGATTTTATGACCTTTTTGCCACAAATTTCAAGCAAATCACTGCAGTTGATAAGTGAACCACATGGTTCTTAAGCAAATCTGGCTTCCCCTCCCCCCCTTGACTTTGCTTGTCAAAAGCCATCTGGGAAGATCACATATGGCAATCACATGACTCTGGGACACTGCAGCCATTGTAAATACATGCTGGTTGCCAAGTGCCTGTATTTTGATCATGTGACCCCGGGGAGGCTGTGACAGTTGTATGTGCGAGGACCAGTCCTAGCCCACTTTTTCCAGGGCAGTTTCAATCTAAGTTCTTAACAATCTTCTTTTATTTGTGGCTAAGTCTGGATGGTACTTTAAGCATAGCAATACTTTGCTAATGGAAGTTCTGAATTATTACGAGTCCTGGGCCAAAATATCAGGGTGGATGTTCGGTCTTACTTATAAACGAACATCTGCAAATGTCTGTCTTTTAACAATGATTTTAGATTCATCTGAGTTTCTAGTCTGCAAAACTGAAATTTCCAATTGGTTGTTTAATCGTGATTATCAGCAACCTTGTTGAAGAATTTATCTCTTGGTTAACCTGAAATAACCGAGACCTTCAACTGGGTGATTTTAATATCTCAGTTAAATCATCATATTATGCTAAAAAAAACCGTTCTCTTCGCATGATAAGAGAATCCATCTTACTGTTAAGCTAATACCTTGGATGTGATCTGGGATCAGAGGTGTCTGTGGTCTTTAATAATAATTTCACAAGCAGTCTGCTACAAGTATATTATTACTTTTACTCATCAATGTAACCCCTGCGATTTTTCAAAAACATTAAACCAGGCCTATTTCAAAGAAGTCTATGACATTATTTGTAGTAGTCTCTGTGGCACTATAGTTGAAATTTAGCCAGAGGCAGTGATAATGTTTATAATTCAGTTCTTTAAACAGCATTAGATCTGCTTATTCCAGCAGAAGAAAAAATATCTCCAAGTAGAAATTTCTCTTGCTAGTTAAATCTGGAGTTGCATAAAGTTATATTCAAGTTTGGAAACTGGAAAATATTACAGGAAACACTCTTTGAATGTTAAGTGGGACTGTTACCAAGATACAATGAATACTGCATTTTTCTTAGAGCAGGCAAACAATATTACTTTAGATCTGCTTTTATACACAACAGCTCAGGACTGTTCTTGTTTATACTCTTCTAACAATTCAGGTAATTATTTTGTACCAAGTATTTAGTTGATTTAAGCTCCAACTCTAGAGTTAGCTTTCTGATGTTTCTGAATTAAGCAGTTCAAGCTACGGTGTACAAAAATGTAAATTTTCTCCCACTTTAGCAGAAGCCGTAGACGCTGTTGAGAAAATCTTTGTTCCTTTTGCTTGCTCCAGTTTCTACCCAGTGCCTCTTCTTCTGTTTTTATCTACAGGACAGGTAGTCCTCGACTTAACAACAGTTCATTTAGTGACTGTTCAAAGTTACAAATGGCCATGAGAAAAGTGACATATGACCATTTTTCACACCGACCGTTGCAACATATCCATGGTCACGTGATAATTCCTATGCTTGGCAACAGACTCGTATTTCTGACGGTTGCAGTGTCTTGAGGTCACCTTTTGCGACCTTCTGACAAGCAAAGTCAATGGGGAAGCCAGATTCATTTAACAACCGTGTTTCTAACTTAACAACTGCAGTGATTCACTTAACAACTGTGGCAAGAAAAGTCGTAAAGTGGGGTAAAACTCACTTAACAACTGCCTCGCTTAACAGAAAATTTGGCCACAACTGTGCTCGTAATTCGAGGACTACCTGTACAGTGTTCCCACTCAACCTTTCTATTAATAATCTTCTGGATCTGTTTCTATATCTATATCTATATTCTATGAAGTCTTTACAGACTCACATCATTAACAATTTTCTGGTAGCCCAGGGCAAAGCAGCTCTCTTTCGGTAGATTTTTCTCCCCCTCCCCATCTTGGACCACCAAATATCACTGCCAAACCCTTCTGCTGTGGAAAAGCAAGTGCTGAGACAGAGGAAAATCATCTTGGCTCCCTTTTATCTTCATTCTAATACAAATATTGCAGAATCTGTATCCAAAACATATCCTAACAGGCAACCGTGGCTCTTTTATGACTCGTGGACTTCAACTCCCAGAATTCCTGAGCCAGCATGGCTCAGCTTGGAAATCTCTCTCTTTCCCCTCAGCATGCCTGGCTCAGGAATTCTGGGAGTTGAAGTCCACGAGTCATAAAAGAGCCAAGGTTGCCTACCCCTGGCCATAGAAGGAACAGGACACCCAGTAACAATTTAAAACTTTATTTAAGCAATCATCAAAAAGAGAACAGAAGAATACAATATGGAAAATACAGCATTGATGGATTCCTGGATTGGAGATAAAGCGATTGCCCTGCAAGACTTTTGACCATTAATTACTTTTTATATATGGAGTTATGATTTATCTACGGCTGTTTACTTAGAGAAGAAATTCTGCAATTATGAACTGATCAAACGTCCTGATTATGTAAAACAAGCAATAATCTATCAGCAACAAAATGATTGATAGGCTCAGTACACTGGTAGAATCCCAGTAATCATGCATGTCGGAAGGTACAGTGAGGAGATGTTTCTGCTTGTAATACAGGTAGTCCTCGATTTACAGCCGCTTGTTTAGTGACCGTTTGAAGTTGCAGAGGCACTTAAAAAAAGTTACTTATGACTGTTTTTCACACAGCCATTGCAGCAGCCCGAGTCATATGATCAAAATTTGGATGCTTGGCAACCGGCATGCATTTATGACAAGTTGTGATGTCCCAAGGTCACGTGATCCCCATTTTGCGACCTTTTGACAAGCAAAGTCAATGGGGAAGTGACTCACTTAACAACCGTGATACAAACTTGACAACTGCAAGTGATTCACTTAGCAACTAACGCAAGGAAGATCGTAAAATGGGGCAAAACTCAATTTAACAACTGCCTTGCTGAGCGACAGCAGTTGTGATCGTAAGTCAAGGGCTATTTGCTGTAAATCATTTGTCCCTACAGCAGAACCACAAAGCTTTGATATATCGTTCCTTAACTTAGTGCCTTACAAATAGTCTGGCCCACCAAGCCCATCCTTTGCCTTTTACGTTAAATACAACCTTCCCATGCTTATCTTCGTATACGTTGATTTCGTTCTTCCCAGCTTCCGAACGGAAGGTGACATTGCTCCCTCCGCATGAGACCTCCAACACGGCATCGTTCTGCACAGCTTGCGGTTCCTTGGGAAATTCCTCTATGGTCTTATTTAGGCACCGCCGCAGCTCCTCTGATCCTTCACGGGAGGCCAGCTGTTGGTAGACATTCAAGAGGCTGCCAAGGCTGAGTGGTAAAGGCTGGCGCCCCAGCCTTGCCACGTAGACTTGTGAATTGGCTTCTCTGACCCGGTAATGCGTTTGGCCGTCCACCCAGAACACCTCGATATAGTTTTCTCCTTTTCCAGACACGAACTCCTTCCTTGTTCCGTTACACTCGAGGATCATTTTGGCATTTTCCTGTAGAATCCGCGGCTCCAACATGAATTCCTTGATCGCTTTGTCGAAGCAATTATCCACGGCTTCACAAAACGGTTCGGATTTCTTGGCTTCCAGCAGGATTGGCACAGTGAGATTTTTAGGGACTGCTTCTGTGTTATCTCCTTTAGCGTGGACAACGCCGGGGGGCACGTTGTTCCCAAATGGATACATTGCACCCAGCCTATCTACCTCCGATAATAAGAAAGTTGAAAATAACAAAACAACCAAACCCACCAGGATGAAAGCCAAGGTGAGACTTTTGATGAGAGGCATTGTGTACTTGTGGGAGGAGCAGAACACATTATTTTTGATGCCGCTCTTTATCTTATGCCATAAGACGGTGGCATAATCGTAACACTGATTTTTGTAACGGAGCCCCCAGAGTTTCTTCAGGTAGGAAGATTTACAAACCAGTTTGAGCTCATTAGCTTCTTCATCAAGCAGAAATGGCTGAGGGAGATCATTCTTCTCTTTCATAGTGGCAAGAGCTGTCAAGGAAAAAAAAGAGTTTGGAATTAGGGACTCCTAAGCCACAAACAGCACCAAATATACTGCCAAAACTGCCACACTACCGCCAAAGCCTCTAAATCGGGTGTCAAACGGCCGGCCCACGGGCCGGACGCGTCACGTGGAAGCCGCGCCCACCCCATTGCCAGCAATGGCAAAACCGGCCCGATACGTTGCGCGACATCATGTGACGTCACGAGTTTGACATGTCTGCTCTAAATGGTTTTCTTTGAACTTTTAAACAGGTGAAAATTTTGGGAAGACTGTCCATTCTCACAAGATCAAACTGCCCATTGTCTGAAAAGGTGGCTGACTCCTGCCTCTTTAGTTTATCCCCTTACCAAACACAAATTCAAAAATAGCTTGGTCAGATGCTATATAGCAGTGGTGGCGAGCCTATGGCACGGGTGCCAGAAGCGGCACTCGGAGCCCTCTCTGTGGGCATATGTGCCGTTGGCCCAGCCTCGTCTTCCCCTGTGACCCCCTCCTCTCCAGCAGACCCCCTGAAGGAGAGTCGCCCCCAAGCGTGGCCCACAAGGAGCAGCGCAGCCAAGGACATGGCAGCCAGGCAGCATAAACAAGTCTCTGCCCTCAACGCCCCATCATGCAGTTGATGCTGCAGGGCACGGGCAGAGGGTATGGCCGCCATAGCGCTGCTGGGCTGCCTAGGTGATCTGTGGCGGGCCCTGGAGGCAGTGAGTGGTCCTGTAGGTGGGGGGGCGGGGTATGGGGGGCAGAGTCCCCCGCCCCGTCCTCCCACCTCACCCCCGCCCCGGTCAAAAACCCGTGAGCCAGAGATTTTCCAAGCGGTAGTGACGATAAACCCTCAGGAACTAATACTGGTGTTACCCTTGAAGGTAGTGATTACGTACGTCAGTAATTTATTCAACCCGAGCTAAAATACTAGGTGAAACGGGAACCAGCAATTCACTTAGTGGTCAGTCATTAAATGAATCCCCATTGTCATTAAGTGAATCCAGCTTTCCCCATTGACTTTGCTTGCCAGAAGCCACCTGAGAAGGTCACAAATGGCAACAACATGATTTAAAGACATTGCAGTGATCATAAATACACGCTGGTTGACAAGTGCCCGAATTTTGACCATGGGGACACTGTGAAAGTCAAAAGTGTGAGGACCTGTTATCACATTTTTTTAACACCATAAGTGAATGTTTGTTAAATGAGTGATCATAAGTCAAGGACTACCTGCATATATAATATATATTTCCCAGAAGCTATATTTACATTTTTAATTATTTTGGCCTCCAAAAACTACAAAAGGCTATCTAGTGACAACACAGTTTAATTGTCACTGCTATGATTTCATTGTGGTCATTCTCCCATGTTTAATGTTTAATTAAACATTAATTAATGAGACCCTTTAGTGCTATTATGCTTGCCTCTTCCCAGCAATACATACTCCTCATGCAAGCTATTGCAGGAAAGATACAGGTAGTTCTCACTTAATGACCACTGTTGAGATCAGCAATTCCATCTCCAAGCAACTTGGTTATAAATTGAACAATGATGTGACTGCGATTTATAGTAACAGTTCCAGTTGTTGTCATTAAATCATATATGGTGGTTAAATGTGAAGCCACGTGACTGTGACTTGTGACATTCTGCAAGCTTCCACATTGACTTTGCTTGTTGGAAGCCAAAAATGAAGGTTGCAAATGACCATGGATCAGTGTGACTGTTGTAATTGGGCGCCTGTTGCCAAACACCCAAATTGCAATCACGTGATTGCAGGGACATTGCAATGGTTACAAGTTTGAGGGCCATCGTAAGTCCCACTTGTTCAGTGCGATTTTAGGTTCAAACGCAAGAACCACCTTTATAGCCAGAAAAGGTTATTGAAGTTGTGAAATTTCATAGGTCACTACAACAATGCCAGCAACAGAAGCAGGAATACCATTCAAAACCACAAGAGCACACCATCTGCAGCCACTGGTATTAAAAGAGGGGCAGAGAGAGGACAATGGAGTGTTGGCACAGCATTGTTTCCAAGGATATGAAACAATTTCTCCAAACTCTTTCCCAAATATGAAAGTTGTAGGGCCCCAGGGGTAGGCAACCTTGGCTCTTTTATGACTTGTGGACTTCAACTCCCAGAGTTCCTGAGCCGGGGCATAGCCAGCATAGCTGGCTCAGGAATTCTGGGAGTTGAAGTCCACAAGTCATAAAAGAGCCAAGGTTGCCTATCCCGGTGTAGGCCATACATAGGGTGGGGAGAGGAAGGCACTGCTCTAATGCTACTAGGGATCACTTACAGCCCAGTAAAATGCCATTAAAGAAGATTTCTAAGGTTATACTTTGCTTGCCACGATATAAAACAGATGTTGAGACTCTAGGAACAGTGCAGATAACAACAACAAAGACGATTAGGGGAATGGAAGCTAAGACATATGAAGAACAGTTACAGGAATTGGGTATGTCTAGTCTATTGAAAAAGACTATGGGGTGACATGATAGTAGTGTTCCAATATATAAGGGGCTACCACAAAGAAGAGAGGGTCAATCTATTCTCTCAAGCACCTGAAGGCAGGACAAGAAGCAATGGATGGAAATTAATCAAGGAGAGAAGCAACCTAGAATTAAAGAGAAATTTCATGACAGAAAAATTAATCAATGGAATGGCTTGCCTCCACAAATTGTGAGTGCTCCATTACTGGAGGCTTTAAGAAGAGATTGGACAACCACTTGTCTGAAATGGTATAAGATCTCCAGGAGGTTGAAGTAGAAGATCTCCAAGGTCCCTTTCAACTGTTATTCTGTCAATCAGAATAGTTCGAGCCATGGTATTCCGTGACACTCTATAGAAGCTAATGTTGGGACTTTTAAGAAGCAGAATAGGAAGAATATTGATGTCTTTCAACTTTATGTTGGAGAAGACTCCTGGATAGCCAGGAAAACCAACCAATGGATCATCCAACAATCATCCCAGAGTTCTCATTTGAGACACAAAATGACCAGGCTCAAATTATCCTCTTTGGACACATGATGTGAAGACTCAACCCTCTAGAAAAACTTCCAATGCTGGGAAAGTGGAAGGAAAGCCAAGAGGAAGACCAGCAACAAGACATGCACACCAACTTAACAATGGCAATGAGTGTACAGTTGGGAAAACAAGTCAGGAGGGGCAAATCATCACAATCTATGTGACTGCTAGGAGCAGATGACTTAACGATACGTAATCAGTCAAAACTTGCAATAGTAATTTAATCTGCAAATCACCAGGGTAGTTTTCAATTTTGATGAGCAAAGGGAAGGAACCAATAAAAACTCAAGACTCACCTTTGGCCTCCATGGTGCAGAACAGCCTTCCCTAACCTGGCCAAGATAATGGCAAAAAGGCATCAGATCTGCAACCCTCTCAGTCTTTGCTCTCTACACAATGCACTACACGTCCACAGAGATTCGGAATAAGAGGATAATTCTCCTCCTCTTGAGATCACTTCAGGCAGCTGATAGGCAGACCATTTCCCAAACCTCACCAGAATGATGAAACGGAAAAGGAAAACGAAACTGATCTACTCTTCAAAACACACACCGCCTCTTGTTATCAGCCAAAAGAGGATTAAAGCAAAATGAAAACATCCTCCTGCTGGCTGAAAATCTGTTTGTGAAATCTCTTACAAAGAAAAAATGTTGCAGTGATTTCTTGCGTTTCTTGGGGAATCTAGCTCAGGCACGTGTGAATGCAGCCCCTGCCTCTCGTTTCTTTTAGCAGTTCCCCCAAGGAGCGTTCCCATCCAAAGTGGGTAAGAAAATACATCCCGCGTTAATAAATTCAGAAATTTGGGTCGCCTGCTAAAGGTCGTGCGTATCAATGGGGGCTCATGGACGCCATTTTACTAGGAATAGGTACGCCCATTAGGAACGCGACGAAACCAAATCCTAAAACACCGATTTCGGCTGGAGAAAGGACGGCGTCTCTCTCTACTAGCCAAATGAAATGGGGGGGGGATAAATCGCGCTGCTTCCAAGAACTTTAGGAGGGAAACGATTGCCCTCCGCTTCTTTATTCGACTCTTCTTCGACAGAGGCCCGATTTCCCCCCCTTCTTTAGCTGATGGAACCGCTCATATCCAAAGTAACAAAGCCGCAGGCTAGGGCAGGGGTAGGCAACCTCGGCTCTTTTATGACTCATGGACTTCAACTCCCAGAATTCCTGAGTCAGCTATGCTGNCCTGACCTAGGGTGGATTTTATACTGGGTTTTTTAGGAATTTGGAAGACACAACTTTAAATTTGGTTTAATTCGGTTTTAAGGGGGGGATTGTATATATGCTTTGGTTTTAAATATGTTGTGCGCCGCCCTGAGTCCCGCCGGGAGAAGGGCGGCATATAAATTAAATTAAATAAATAAATAAATAAATAAATAAATAAAATGCAGTGCATGTTATCTCAGCTTGCAGAGCTTGGATTCATTGAATGAGTTTACCAAAAATGTAAATATTGCAGAATATATAGCCTCATGCTACGTAAGTGTGACTAGATGACCTCCAAGATCCCTTCCAACTTTTTTTTAAATTATTATTATTATTATTATTATTATTATTATTATTATTATTATTATTAATCTTTTATTCATTAGACATGAACCTCAGTCAACTGAACATTCAAATTGGCTGGCGCTGATGGTTGACACTGGCTGCTACCAGCATCCTATTATTATTATTATTATTATTATTATTATTATTATTATTATTATTATTATTATTATTATTATTATTATTATTATTAAGCTCCATTCCATGCTGAATAAACTAAATTATTAATGTATCTTAAATAGAAAGCTATCTTTAGATAGATTTTTTTACTCCAAAAGCATTTTATTAAAATAAATTTGATAAAAATAAAAAAAATCCGATTTAAATAAAAAAAATCTGATTTCTTAATTTTTTTGAAAAAAAATCATTATTATCCACCCTAAGCAAGGGCGTTGTTAAGTAAGTCACCTGATTTTATGACCTTTTTGCCACAAATTTCAAGCAAATCACTGCAGTTGATAAGTGAATCACATGGTTCTTAAGGAAATCTGGCTTCCCCTCCCCCCCTTGACTTTGCTTGTCAAAAGCCATCTGGGAAGATCACATATGGCAATCACATGACTCTGGGACACTGCAACCATTGTAAATACATGCTGGTTGCCAAGTGCCTGTATTTTGATCATGTGACTACGGGGAGGCTGTGACAGTTGTATGTGCGAGGACCAGTCCTAGGTCACTTTTTCCAGGGCAGTTTCAATCTAAGTTCTTAACAATCTTCTTTTATTTGTGGCTAAGTCTGGATGGTAGTTTAAGCATAGCAATACTTTGCTAATGGAAGTTCTGAATTATTACGAGTCCTGGGCCAAAATATCAGGGTGGATGTTCGGTCTTACTTATAAACGAACATCTGCAAATGTCTGTCTTTTAACAATGGTTTTAGATTCATCTGAGTTTCTAGTCTGCAAAACTGAAATTTCCAATTGGTTGTTTAATCGTGATTATCAGCAACCTTGTTGAAGAATTTATCTCTTGATTAACCTGAAATAACCGAGACCTTCAACTGGGTGATTTTAATATCTCAGTTAAATCATCATATTATGCTAAAAAAAACGTTCTCTTCGCATGATAAGAGACTTCATCTTACTGTTAAGCTAATACCTTGGATGTGATCTGGGATGAGATGTGTCTGTGGTCTTTAATAATAATTTCACAAGCAGTCTGCTACAGTATATTATTACTTTTACTCATCAATGTAACCCCTGCGATTTTTCAAAAACATTAAACCAGGCCTATTTCAAAGAAGTCTATGACATTATTTGTAGTAATCTCTGTGGCACTATAGTTGAAATTTAGCCAGAGGCAGTGATAATGTTTATAATTCAGTTCTTTAAACAGCATTAGATCTGCTTATTCCAGCAGAAGAAAAAATATCTCTGAGTAGAAATTTCTCTTGCTAGTTAAATCTGGAGTTGCACAAAGTTATATTCAAGTTTGGAAACTGGAAAGATATTACAGGAAACACTCTTTGAATGTTAAGTGGGACTGTTACCAAGATACAATGAATATTGCATTTTTCTTAGAGCAGGCAAACAATATTACTTTAGATCTGCTTTTACACACAACAGCTCAGGACTGTTCTTGTTTATACTCTTCTAACAATTCAGGTAATTATTTTGTACCAAGTATTTAGTTGATTTAAGCTCCAACTCTAGAGTTAGCTTTCTGATGTTTCTGAATTAAGCAGTTCAAGCTACGGTGTACAAAAATGTAAATTTTCTCCCACTTTACCAGAAGCCGTAGACGCTGTTGAGAAAATCTTTGTTCCTTTTGCTTGCTCCAGTTTCTACCCAGTGCCTCTTCTTCTGTTTTTATCTACAGGACAGGTAGTCCTCGACTTAACAACAGTTCATTTAGTGACTGTTCAAAGTTACAAATGGCCCTGAGAAAAGTGACATATGACCATTTTTCACACCGACCGTTGCAACATATCCATGGTCACGTGATAATTCCTATGCTTGGCAACAGACTCGTATTTCTGACGGTTGCAGTGTCTTGAGGTCACCTTTTGCGACCTTCTGACAAGCAAAGTCAATGGGGAAGCCAGATTCATTTAACAACCGTGTTTCTAACTTAACAACTGCAGTGATTCACTTAACAACTGTGGCAAGAAAAGTCGTAAAGTGGGGTAAAACTCACTTAACAACTGCCTCGCTTAACAACAAAAAATTTGGCCACAACTGTGCTCGTAATTCGAGGACTACCTGTACAGTGTTCCCACTCAACCTTTCTATTAATAATCTTCTGGATCTGTTTCTATATCTATATCTATATTCTATGAAGTCTTCACAGACTCACATCATTAACAATTTTCTGGTAGCCCAGGGCAAAGCAGCTCTCTTTTGGTAGATTTTTCTCCTCCCCCCCCCTGACATCTTGGACCACCAAATATCACTGCCAAACCCTTCTGCTGTGGAAAAGCAAGTGCTGAGACAGGGGAAAATCATCTTGGCTCCCTTTTATCTTCATTCTAATACAAATATTGCAGAATCTGTATCCAAAACATATCCTAACAGGCAACCTTGGCTCTTTTATGACTCGTGGACTTCAACTCCCAGAATTCCTGAGCCAGCATGGCTCAGCTTGGAAACTCTCCCTTTCCCCTCAGCATGGCTGGCTCAGGAATTCTGGGAGTTGAAGTCCACAAGTCATAAAAGAGCCAAGGTTGCCTACCCGTGGCCATAGAAGGAACAGGACACCCAGTAACAATTTAAAACTTTATTTAAGCAATCATCAAAAAGAGAACAGAAGAATACAATATGGAAAATACAGCATTGATGGATTCCTGGATTGGAGATAAAGCGATTGCCCTGCAAGACGTTTGACCATTAATTACTTTTTATATATGGAGTTATGATTTATCTACAGCTGTTTACTTAGAGAAGAAATTCTGCAATTACGAACTGATCAAACGTCCTGATTATGTAAAACAAGCAATAATATATCAGCAACAAAATGATTGATAGGCTCAGTACACTGGTAGGATCCCAGTAATCATGCATGTGGGAAGGTACAGTGAGGAGATGTTTCTGCTTGTAATACAGGTAGTCCTCGATTTACAGCCGCTCGTTTAGTGACCGTTTGAAGTTGCAGAGGCACTGAAAAAAGTTACTTATGACTGTTTTTCACACAGCCATTGCAGCAGCCCCAGGGTCATGTGATCAAAATTTGGACGCTTGGCAACCGGCATGCATTTATGACAGGTTGTGATGTCCCAAGGTCACGTGATCCCCATTTTGCGACCTTTTGACAAGCAAAGTCAATGGGGAAGTGACTCACTTAATAACCGTGATACAAACTTGACAACTGCAAGTGATTCACTTAGCAACTAACGCAAGGAAGATTGTAAAATGGGGCAAAACTCAATTTAACAACTGCCTTGCTGAGCGACAGCAGTTGTGATCGTAAGTCAAGGGCTATTTGCTGTAAATCATTTGTCCCTACAGCAGAACCACAAAGCTCTGATATATCGTTCCTTAACTTAGTGCCTTACAAATAGTCTGGCCCACCAAGCCCATCCTTTGCCTTTTACGTTAAATACAACCTTCCCATGCTTATCTTCATATACGTTGATTTCGTTCTTCCCAGCTTCCGAACGGAAGGTGACATTGCTCCCTCCGCATGAGACCTCCAACACGGCATCGTTCTGCACAGCTTGCGGTTCCTTGGGAAATTCCTCTATGGTCTTATTTAGGCACCGCCGCAGCTCCTCTGATCCTTCACGGGAGACCAGCTGTTGGTAGACATTCAAGAGGCTGCCAAGGCTGAGTGGTAAAGGCTGGCGCCCCAGCCTTGCCACGTAGACTTGTGAATTGGCTTCTCTGACCCGGTAATGCGTTTGGCCGTCCACCCAGAACACCTCGATATAGTTTTCTCCTTTTCCAGACACGAACTCCTTCCTTGTTCCGTTACACTCGA